GAAACGAATTCTAATCTTACGAGAATATTTCTATTCCGGAAAGAAACATGAACAAAATTATTAGATGTACGCGACTATTACTCCATATCGATCATTTGCTGCAACACCCATAAATGTTCGAGATACGAATATAGACAGAACGCTAACAAAAGTGAGCATTCATGACACTGAAAGACGATATTGCATGCTTCTGGCCTAGTTCGGTATCTTATCTTACCAATTTGGCATTTCCACTGCGACGTTCCTAGGTAATTACAATCGTGCAAAATTCTAACTCATAATTACAGCAAATGAGCGATGCGTTACCAAGTTGTTTTCTTCGGTTACGTTTCGTATTACACTTGTATGTGTAATTCAAGTGATTTCTCGTTCGAACGTGACAGAAATATCGTCGATAACAGTGCTTAAGTAACCCATGAAAATTAAAATAAATTAATACAGCAGGTTTCCTTGTAATGCCATTGGGAAACAATAATTTTCCTTATGTAACACGAATAAATTATATAACGCGTTGTACAAGCATTGCGTTACATAAAAAAAAAAAAGCATATCTTTCGTGTGTCGTAGAAACTCACGTTGATACAGGAGTTTACTGTACATGGAGTACCAGCTAGCACGGTGTTTGTGGCCAAAAGAGAACGTTATGGTAGTGTTGCGGTCGTCTAGGGGTTAAAACCTGACATCGTTCTTTCGACAGCGAGAAAACAAACTAGTTTCTATCTAGTGGGGATTATAGTTTCTATCTATCGGGCTCGTGCGGTAAAAATCTTCTGCCCTTATTACAACGTTCGCGTGATCCTCGCGGTTATCGTTTCTCTGTATTATTTAAAACCAATTGAATCATTCGACTGTCGTGTCGTTGCAAAGAGAAGGCAAGGCTTCGACGGAGATTATTATTAGAGCAAAATCAAGCGTCTATATGTGCCGATAGTATCGACAAGGTTAAGTCTTAACACGTTCACTGTCCACGGACGCACATGCACAGTAAGTCACTCGAGTATTCGTGTCTCCTCCCTCCTCGATCCTCGACTTGGAACGATTGATATTTTTGTTTAGAACGCAAGTTTTCGAATCCTTATCAGCCAGAATCCGTTCGATTGGCAGACTATTGGTACATAAAGAATCGATGCAACGAAAATGGGAACGTGGGTAAATTATAGCGGAATTAACGTCACGAGGAATGTTCGTATGTATTTGTGGGTAGAATTGGCGCCATTTTCGCTACACCGGATACATAAGACATTCGAAGCATTAAGAATTGTAAAGTTCGTGTTCTCGAGAAATCCGAATCCCTTAAAGTCGACAATTTGGCGAGATACGGATATTTACTTAACTCACTGTGAGTTCAGACAGTTTCGATCGAGGAGTCCGTTCCGAATACACGACTACTAACGCCGTCCATACGGTCGAGTCGAGAGCTTTTTCGAAGTCTGATCCAACGATCCAAGCGACTCTGATGCGTATTACCGTGGTAGTTAGGCTAGGAGTTAGAATATTTATTGCTACGAAAACGTAAACAATTTTCTAGACGTTTGAGTTGTGTTGACGGTTCCAGGTGCGGGCAGACGAACGCGTTAAGAAAACTGTTATCGGAACGAAATCAAGTGGTTGCTCAAAGTCACTGCATCGTTTAGCGTGAATAGCGCCAAGCAGAAATTTCTACTTTCGCGCCATACCTGAGCTTGGCTCTTTGTTTCAGAGACAGAGAACGCCCGTGCACGCAGGTTTTCCATTTCTGTCTCTGAAACACTGACGCTCGGAGAGAAGACCTACCCCAAATCAGACAGACGGGGGCGGAGGTATTCCAACGGTACAGTAGAGACCTCGATAGTTGCAGAAAAACGAAGCTGAAAAATCCTGCGAGCGGTAAATACCTCTATAAAAAAAGTTCCAATTTCACGATACATGTACTTCCATTTATGACTTATAATCAAATTGGGGAGGAAAATTTATTAGAATATCAAAAACTTGAATCAATTTTACTGTTCGAAGGGGCTTCTTTGGTTCCTTCCTCCCCAATCATATCACGGCCCTGCTCGTGATCATCGCGTTAATCAATTACCAACAATCTGCTTCCGTCTAAAACAAAAGGCTTCCGGTACCCGTTTCACTCGTTGCTTAATGAGCATCCCTTCTACTCGCCAACACAATGAGGCTCGCGTGCAAGTATCGAGGTTGTACTGTATACAGTTGGAAGAGGAATGGGGAGGTGGCTCTCTCTCCTCGGTGACTTTGAGCAGTCGGTTGATCTTGATTCGATTACAAGTGGTTTACGACTACGAAGCTGCTGTAGTTTATCTGACGTAGGCAAACTCCATCGCCGAAAAGGTTAATCGGATTTGTCGATGAAAAAAGTACTCGGTGTCGATCGACGCAAAATCCTCGTTTTGTCGACTGGCCGCGGGTAATCGACGCATGTGTCACACGGTCGATCGGTTGTCTGTCTATCTCGTTTTGTTTCTTTCCGTCAGGATATACATACATAATAGAGAATGAAAAAACGGTACATAAAGAGTAGCGAGCAAAATTGTATTTTTTAATATATACACAGCGAGTCCCAGGGGTATTTCTACTGCCTCTGGAGACTTCAAATTGTTGATGTTGTTTTTTGAGATAATTTATGGGATCGTTAGTGATATTGATACTGTAACATTTATCTTAAATAATATATTAACGATCTGAGGTCGGTAATCGAGGGAATAGGAATACTTTCGAAACTCACTGTACATATATATTGTCATGTGTGTGTGCGTGTCGCATGTAAGAAAGTGAGAGAGATAGAGAGAGAGAGAGAGATAATGTGAGAGGAAGATAAATGTATGCGTGTGTATAAATATATATATGTATATGTACATACACATATATATATATATATATTCCGAGGGTCCCGCCTCCGAAAAGGGTATTGCGATTTAGCTATGAAAATGGTTAATCAAGGAATTTTAGATTTAATCGAGACTCTATATTTAATTAATCGCTAAGTTGAGCAGCAAAAGAGTAGAGCATTGTTCTTTCGAGACAAAGATATATTACGTATATATATGTATATATATAAACAGAGAAAGAGTAAATATATATATAAATATATATATGTACACATTATACCATTATACATACACATACTTAGAGGCAAATTAAAATTCTCTCGACGAACAAAAAAAAAACTATTCTTAGGGCTGTTAATTATTCGAGAATCGTCTAAAGCGATAATTTAGGACAAAATATACATATATGAGATACATGCACATGTTGTGATTATACTTGTGTCGTCGATTTGTCCGTGATACGGATCGATCGGGAACTCATTGTACGCGTTTTACGTTCTGTTTTTGGTAACACGAAAAAAAAGTGGAAAGAAAGCAAGGAAAATGTCGCGTTGGCTGTGCGTCGCGACACAGAGAAACTCGTCCACGACGATAACAATAACAGAGAATCTTTACGAACGAAGAGAAAACCTATTTCTCCGTGTGTCATTTCCCCACGATTTTCCTTCTACAAAAATACGTTGTAATTATGATCTAGCACAAAGCAGTTGTGTTGACAGTTTCTTCAACAGAGTTTTCTACGTTCGATTGTATCGTCCACACACAAACGATAATTCTCGATTATTACGGATCGAATACCAATGAGAAGCGTGAAACTCTTTTTCCGATGGATGCGTGTATACGTAAATAAGATTGTGGTTCGTCGATTGGGTTCTGTTCTTTTTTTCTTTTTTTTTTTTTCGAAGTAATAGTAAAATGAGAGAACCGATAATTCGACAAGCAAAGTGTCGCATGTTCGTCTCGCGTTCTTTCGACGTTAAACCGACGTTATACACGCCCATCGTCTCTCAAACATTTTCACGCTGAATTTGCTAACCGTCGAAAATGTAAATGGAAAATCGAAGAGAATTGAAGTTTGCGCGGATATCAGTGAACGCGACGACAAACGAGTATGCATCACGCTGTTTGCAAGCCTAAGAATATTACGAAGCAAAAAAAAAAAAGTCTCTGTTTATCAAGAACGCGAAACGATACGTTTTTATTTTTTTAATTTATTTGATAATTCTATGTTTGTAAAGAAAAAAAAAATGAGAACCTAGGTTTCAGGGTAAATCTCACCCTACCGCGACCACTTTGGGCACCACTATTAATATATATGTATATATATGTATATGTATGTCTATATACATATGTATATGTATGCATGTATGTATGTATATGATTAGTTCACAGAGCATTTGAATTTTACTCTTAAAATAATTACTTTACACTCTAACCACATTTATTTGCATCCATTGAATTGTTAATTCTTTCATCATCAAAGTTATTCCATTCAATGTTAAATAATTATAAAAAGAATATTACAAAAACATAATATATATTAACTATTTTCACTCATGAGGAAGCATCGTTACCTGTACGACAAGTGACCATAAGAGCATAATAAACAATCGCTCATTAAATGCATTCTGTTGTTCTTCATTTCATGACCTGGCCACAACCACAACACGCTCCATCCACGCCGGTCCATCGAAATCCATCCATTTCTCCATTTCAGTGTCGTTTGTACGATCATCGTAATTTCTCTCTATTATCTCATTCGCCGATACTTTTCTTCGAATTTCACAAGATTCTGCCTACCATCACGCCTCTCTATCTTGAATTTTTCTTTGCTCTCTCTGATGCGACCATCCACAATGGATTCTGCGTACAATTGTAATTTTATCAAAATTGGGAAGGTTGCAATTCCGTAAATTCCATTGCACGAACGCGTTTGATCCTATCAATTCCACGAGAAATAGATTTCAATCGGTTCCGTTGGGTTCTGTACGTACATATTGGGAGCCTTCCAAATTTTGATAGAAAGTTCATCGAAAGTTGAACGTTTTAAAAATGGCTTGGCCTATCGCACCTGTAAATACGACGATTCCAATTAGTTGTTAAGCCTTTAGAGTAATGTTTACCTCGTCTAGTGTTCAAGGCCGAGTTAAAAAACGGCGCAATATCTCGCGAGAGTGCAGTATTTCTTTTTTCTTTTTGTCGTTCGAGACAGGAATGCAGAGGTACAATTTCGGACTCGATTAATATTTAACGCCATCGTTCTATTGTACACTCACTGGCCGTGTCGTTTATTTTTATTGCGAAGTCTCTTTGTAGCTGTGTTGTTATTGCGTGTGTACCTCGCGTTCGGAATAGCATATCACCTTGAACACCGCTATATACGGTTTTCGCGTGCATTCCATCAGTGGTACAAATTCTGGCGTACAAAAAGAGAGAAAAAAAAAGATGCTGTTCTAACTAGTCAGTCTAGGATAAGGGAATGTATTTTTTTACACGATGGATTTATAATAAAGACATTGATAAACGAAAGAGTATGGAGTTCAGACAGATGGCATGGAACAAAAAAAAAAGAAATAAAGAGGAACAACTTCGTCGATGAATAATTCGCGAAGCTTTCGACGAGTTGGGTAAACATATTTTTGGTTTCTTGGGTACGATATGTCTCGGGAGAAGTAATTTATTTCTAAGAATTCTCTCTCGAAACGTTACGAGATTCCTTCGTTTCAGTTTTAAATCGCATGTACGAATTGTTTGGAATACTTGGCACACCACAGGAGAATTGGTATACACTAAATTCCTTTCGCTGGGTAAGTTGCATATATTTTTCTTCATATCTATGCTGATTCATCCATCTCCTCGGTTCGATTTTATATCGAAACAGTTAAAAACCTCTGGGTGCGAGTCTGGTTATTCGTTAACTTCGCACCGCCTATTCAAAGTAGAGTTTATGAAATTTTTTTTTTTTTTTTTTTTTTAAGTTATCTATCATACTAACGGAAGTAACTTCAACAGGCGATTTTGTTCAACCACGAGTTAGCTTCATCAGGATTTCAGGATGCACCGATGCTACAATAGGAGCGTAATAATTATGGCAATAAAGACGGTGTTTCGAAATGATTCGAAATGTAATTGAAAATACAATGGCGCGATTCGTTCACTTACAATTAAGATCGCTCACGATTCCCAATCACAACTCGTCTACAGTCGAATATTTTTATTGGATCGAGAACTGCATATTCAAATATGTACACACAGTTCTCGACGGCGTTTTAATTATCGAATTCTACAAATTAATTATACATACACTATGACACAGAATTTATTATTCCTCGTAAGCAATGAACGTACATAATTCAATTTTCACTTACAAAATATCTAAGCGTATCATACCGGTTTGTTTGTTTCGTTAACTTTTTGTTAAGTATCGTTTATCGTTATTATTATTATACATACTCGCATTTGCCCCTACTACGACTCTTACTCACGCATACTTTTACAAATGGTATGTAGCACTACCTAACTAAACTCTATTTAGGACCGTCGATATAAATGAAGTTTCTAAAAGTGGTTTGTCCGTTATTGCCCCAATTAATTTGTTGCCAAACTATAAAATAATTCTATTGTGTTCAGTGCTTTTCCACGTTACACCTACGAAACTAATCGTTTTGTGTCGCTTTACGTAAACACTTTCCTGCCTCGGGCTCTTCCACGTGTGTGCGTACAAGCTAATAGTGAAAAAGCAGTGTATGCTAGAAACTATAGTTTATCGATTCACCGTTAAAAGGATAAGCATTGTGCAGAGAAATGGAAAATTTATTTTTCTTTTTAATAGATGTACCATTCAATACAAATTTGTTGACCAGCTTAACAATTTTTTACGGGATTACCTGAATACCAAAGGTAGATCGATATCGTTTAAAAAAATTCCACGGAAAATTATCCATTTCTCTCGCGTTATTCAATTATAAGAATAACAAATATCACGTGAGTTAAAAACAAACGAGTTGGATTTTCCTTCTCACAATCATCACACCTCGTTTTTTTTCTTTCTTACTTCCATAGTTGGGATCGACGCAGAAATTATTTTGATGCGATTATAGTCGAAGGGTGTCACTTGTTTGCATTCCTTCCTACGTCCTCTACGAACCCCTATCATATGTGTACGACATGCGATACTCTTGCTGAGATAGTATGGACAGCCTTCTCGAAACGTGATTCGGGCTGATAGTGCTTTTCTGCATGCAACATTCGAACATCTTGTATAAAAATTATATATACATTATTATCTAATCATTCACTTGTATAATGCACACGTCTAAGTATGAAATGTATATCTCTGTCATTCTTCTTTGTTATAGTATAAATTATATAATTCCTAGCCGCCTAGTTGAAGAAGCATGCAAACAAATACCCCTCCGTTATCACCTAACGCGGTACGGAATACCTTAATTTAATGAGTAATTCGTAACATAAATTCCGAATAGGCGAGCCTATGAACGACTACTTTCGAAAGTTTTCATTTTAATCGTACGATTTACTTACAAATCAAAAAGGATTAGTCTTCACTTTCGTGGAAAGCAATGGCAAGAAAGAACCAGGCAGTAACAATGTCAGTAGAACGAGTTCTCGATAACGTACGATACTGTAGTTCAGTTTCATCCTGACGCCTGTGGTCTTTATCGCACAATGAACGTATTGTTCGTGTATAAAACTACAAAATATATTTAAGTTATACAATATAGGCGATACGATCAAACATGTATCTCTATATAAGATTATGTCCTGCAAAAAATACATTGGAAAGTATTAAAGTGTGCTCAAGATTGAAGCAAGGAAACATTCTACACAATTTTCAAATATATATCTTAATCGTAATTCTCTACCACGTTTTTTTTTTTTAAGTCTCAATATGCGTATCAGGGGAATCGATGTATTCCTCCAAGGTACGCGTTACGAGCTTATGGTACATATCAACGCCGAGCACACTTTTCTATCTTTTAAAGTTAACAACGAAATCCAAAGTTACATTGTATCAAATATCTCCAACAATTACTCGTGGACCGACACAAGTTTATAGAGGAAAAATGAAGTGTACCCACAGGATAAATGCTTTATGAAAGAAATTTGATTTGTACTTTTCATTCCTCAGTATTTTATCTGGAGTTTGAGCAGATTGCGTTCTCTTATTACACATTTTCTTTTTCTATTTATTCAATGTATGTTAGTATGCGTGTATCCTGCAACGTTCGAATCTGCTACTTTATATTCAGTAAAGGATTTAAAGTTTTTATCTAATATTATTTAATAGCAACACTTCTCCTTAATCTATGTAAGCTAAAAATAATCGAAAAATTATATTATTATGAGTATAAAAAGTAAACTTTTGATTTCAGACAACAGAACCTATTTGGAATAGGTCAATACACTTTACAAAATAATATGCAAGTACTATACGAAGACGAATTCGAGTAATTTTGATTATGTATTTAAAACCACTGAAAAAACATAACAAAATTAAACATAAGCCAACATTCCTATTCTCTGTGTAAGTATGGGAATGGTACAGTGTTTCATCTCATCTTGGAACAGATGACGCATCACGTATTTTCACTTTACGTATAACTGAAAATTATTACAGAGTCGAATACTCTACTCTACACTGTTTACCATCTCGATACCTAAACGTAGTTCACAAGTGACAAAAGGTGCACTATTCGCGTTACAAACAAGTAACCAATGATCTATGAAAAAATATCTAAAATACCTGTAGCTATGTTTGATGGTAGTATCCTTAACGCCAAGAGATCCCAAAGAATTATGAAGAACAAATAAAAGTAAGACTGGTACATTAGGTGTTACAGCCAAGTTACACGACTTCACACCCTTATCAATAAAATTCACCCCCTCCCGTTTCGATCTCGGAAACTCTATGCATGCGTTATTACCGTTTGTATAACATAATTGTGTGTTGTCAATTTCAATAAAAATAGAGTTGCATCACCTTTTCTCACCATAGAACTACAAAATATTGGACCACCTCCCTTTCCGTTTCTATAAAATTAGAAGAGGAAGAGGGTGGTCTGCCTTGCTTGCTACTTGGTTGCCTCTGGAGGACAATCAGGCTGATTATTTGGGTGAGCAGCGGTAAAGGCAGGGTGATTCTCTAAATGACGATCTACTCTTAAAATTGTTGGGAAAGGTCTCAGATCGACGAGAAACCTTCTCGCGTTAAATATTTGTGGTATTAAACAACAGTCTGCTAGTGTAATTTCATCCCCCACGCAGTATTTCCCTGCACTGGACGACAGTAATTTTTCTACAGCTGGAAAAAAACCAATTCCAATTATCTCTCTATCTCTCTCTATTATCTATCTTCATTGTTAATGTATTAATTTGTATACCTGTTAAACCTCTTGTAATCCAATGCTGTGCCCATTCCTTCTTACGTTCTTCCCCAACATATATCAACACAACTAGATTCTGCAACGGTTGAATACCACTAGCAATCACCTCGCAAATCTCCCTGACTCTAGCTCTCTTCACAGGATCTGCAGGCATTAAAGGTCGGTGTGGTCTGGTCTCTTCCAGGTATTGCAAGATATTCAACTGCAGCCAACACATATTTCCAGTTACATTCTCTATTCTTCATTAATATGATATACAAAAACGTATGGGATTATACTCACAGATTCTATTAACGTGTGATTGTCGATATGAAGTGCCGGCACCTGCTCCATGGGATTAATCTCACGAAACTCATTGGAATGTTGCTCACCGCCTCCTTTTATTAAGCTAACTGGTTTTATATCGTAAGGGATCTCCTTCAAGTTTAGTGCTGTTAGAAAATAGAATTTTGTATTGCACTAGATACATTTGGAAGAATATTTTATTTATTTGAAATCTTTCGCGAGTATAACGATAGCATCTTGAAATCATTGAACGCTGTATTTTTACTCACCGATTCGCACTCTCCACGAGCAGGAGCTCCGCCAATAGGAGTAGAGTACCGGCTGAAACGAAAGAAAGAAACGAAAAATAAATGATCGACCGACAAATTCGTTCCAATGTTTACCGGCTTCATGAGTTGACGAAGGTGTACATTCGCGAGGTAAGATTAAAATTCGATTGAATAGTTGCGGATAGAATACAACTGCGATGATAAAAGATGGTAAACAAAGGGAATAATACAAAAGAGAGAGAGAAGGAGAGAGAGAGAGAGGTAAAAGCATCGTTCGTAAATTAATAGGAATTCTGGTTGAACGAAGGTCGAAGAAACAGGTCCTGCAGGAGACGAAGGAAGGGCTAGCAAAAGCGAGATCTCTGGCAACAACGTCAGCATATATTAGATGTATTAATTCGTTCTCACCTTTCCCATGACGGACATCTCGTCAGGTCTTCGCGGACGGACTCGCTTGCTCGATTCTATACTCGATCGTTAAACGTTGACGCCGTGGCTCGCGAATCTCTTGGAAATTATTCGGAATCAGTTCAACGCGCGAAATCACTCCTCCCTCCCCTTTTATTCGATTGCCAGACGTCCCGTTCCAATGTCTCATTCTTGTCTGGGCTCGTGCGACCAATCAGCGCTCGCTTTTCGATAGAGCGCAGTGCTGTACGATACAAAAAACCTTCAAGGTTGATATACACCTATCTCCTGATTTACATGGAGGATCAGCTCCTACGAGGTTCTCTGAATATAACGTTCAAATCGAATTCAGGACTTTTTAAGTGGGAAAAACATGTACATTAAAAACAAAATGCAATTGTTCCATTACATTCATTTATTTCGACGTAAGATAAAAATGGGAAGCAAACAATTCCATTCATGAGATAATCTTTAATAACATTTTAATTTTTGTTTCTATAGATATGATTTTTCTAATCAATCTCTTTCCTGTTTAATTTCTCTCAATCTTTAATTTCCCTCTAAATTTTGCGTTTGCCCTTGAAGATTAATACGCACATATTTTGTAAATAATGTATTGTTAACGTAAATTTGATATCATGTGACTTATCACGAGTCCCGCATGTGGATGGTGTGAGGATTTGTTGGGTGTTATCTGTATGTTTTCTGGTTTTTCTTTTTAATACAGCAAGTACGCTTAACGACAAACAAGGATACCGATTAGAAATTATAATTTGGTATCCACTAACCGGTCGCGTGTATCGTGACAGTAAACAAGGCTATAAAAACTGAAACATAGAGCATGAGAGGCGCTCTTTAACGTGAGGAATATGCAAATTTTTCGTCCACGATTCTAATAATTTATTACTATATCTAACATTACGTACATTTATACAGACGAGATTTTTACGATGTACATTGGAGAATGTTAATTTTTGTTCTCTAAAAGAAAGTCACCAGTTCTGGCAGCAACCAAGTATTTCACGAGACCAAACCTGATAACTTAGAGATTCTATTGAAGTATATAATTTTTATTACGTTATTTGTTAATTTGAGAATGCAAATATGTTCAAATTATAGATGTATCCCAATAATTTAACAAACATTTCATATTATACGAATTAAAATTTGACTACACCAATGCTTTGGATGCACATGAGTGATTATGTCTATTAGTCACGTTGTTTATTTATTTGACCTCTTATTTATTTTATTTTATTTAGTTGATTCAACCTTTTGCGGTCTTCTCATTTTAATAATTTTTATATAGTTCATGGACTCAAAATTGGTATCGCCATCTAGCGGTGAACAGGCTGTACTAATTTTTCAAAGGTATGTATATATGACAGTTATTAACTCCTTAATATCTCATTTTCCTTATAATTAACTTGAAATATAATTGAATAATAAGTGTGTGAAGCAATAAAATGTGTAAATATGTTAAATTTATAATTTTTAAAAATATTTTTTTAGTCTTAGTGGCGCCATCGGTGGCAAAACGCCCAAGTTTGTAGTAAAACTAGTTCCTACTGTTTCCGCTAGATAGCGCTAATGACTATAGGGTCGATAATTATTGCTGAATTAAATAATGTATGTATTACAATGATAAATTTGGTGTTTGCGTTACTATTTTTTAGTACTATAATGCAAAGAATGTTGTTAATTATGCATTTGTGTAATATAAAAAAAAGAATTAATAAATGACTCGGTAGCGCCATCTAGCGAAAACAGTGCGAACTATTTCTACTACAAACTTGGGCGTCTTGCCGCTAGATGGCGTTACTAGTATCGAATTACCGACTTTAGAAACATTTATTTATTTAATTTTTTTTGCAAATTAACATTGTATTACTCCGTGTTAGGGGTGCTAAACTATTAGTTTAATTACAATTCTTTGAATTTTAGCGATTGTGAGCCATTTAAGCGTATATAATGGTAGTTTAATCTTTCCATATCCAAAATTAGTTCACCTGTCTCACCGCTAGATGGCTATACTGAAAGTCACCCCGTTAATGCGCTTATGGGTTTGAAAAGCATAAGCAATTATGCATTTCAATAATAGGCTTATTTGAGAACTTCTTTGTATATAAATTATCAATATGTTTATTAATATTACTAATATTAATAATGAGCTACATAATTATTTATTTTATATACTATAAATATAGAAGATAGAATAATAGAATAGATATAACCCTACATTAAAATAAATGCAATAGTTTATCTATCCTAATATTTCCTTATATATTAATTGTTCCTGCTTAAACTTTCCAGAATACTTTAAAAATCGGAAGCAAATGAAATCTCATAAATATTTGATACGTTACTAAAGCATTAGAATAAGAAATATAACACGCATGATGAATTTACGTAACATACCTAAAATCGCTACATAATACAGGTGGAAACTACATTACACCTGTGTATCGCATATAATGTATTTTCCTAAACGTTATCCTGTGCATCAAGCTTTAAACAAGGTACATGGACGATCGATATGCCCATCTATCTCTAAACTATATAATCGTTGCGGACCATACGTGTTTATGGATGTTCAATGGTTGACAGCTGTCAGTCGCACATAGGTTGATAGTGAGTCACGATATTGGCAGTGGAATTGGGTGAAGACCATTCACCTCGACAGGTGACTAAGAGCCTAGGAATTGCTGCTACCTCTTTTTATCTTGAAGTTGTGTTATCGTCTGTTGCGCACGCACTCGCCCGTAGCTAAAAGCGGTTCATGCTTTTGTGACTTTTCCTTTAGACAAAAACCTAATCAAGCACTTGCTTTTTGGCCTCCAAGTTTTGTGCTGGTCCGCCACAGATATCGCACGTCATCACCTACCCCTTTGTTCAGATGTCCAGGTATTTTTTGTAAGAGCCCATGTTTACTTTCTTTTGCACTTATTTGTACGAATCCTTAATTAATAATAAGCGATATTTACCTTGCAAGCTTTGTTTCGCAGCGACATAACCGGCATGGCGTCTAGCTCCGTCAGCCAGGAGGACTTTGACAATGATTTTAAACTGACATCCAGGAGGTCCAGGATCAGGACAGCACGAGCACGTGTTGGACCACCCAGACCAGGGGACACCTCTTCCATAGGTTTTCAAAGTAATTCGATACTTACCTATCTGTTAATTTGATCATTTCTGTTGAATTGTTACTTGGAATGCAAATTGCTCTGCTTGCAGAGAATGCATCAAACGTAGAGGAGGCTCAGGAAGTATGCGATATGAGCTCTAACAACGTGCCTGATCACGAGAACGCGCAAAACAAACCGATAATGAGAAAGCAGGACAAACGGGTGACTGGCCGGTGAGTAATTTTCTTGCAGTTGCCTGCTTAAGAAATGCCCAAAGATGTTGGTTTGTTGAACCTTGGATGACCACACAATTTTGTTGTATTTAAAGTAACATGATCAAACTCAATGAAATAATAATAATGAGACGTCTATCCTTGATGTATCCTGTGCCGTCATCCAAGGATTAACTTTAAGTGCTCCTGCCATGAAATAGAACCAGCACAGATGTTGCACACGTTGCTAACACTTTCTGGGTCTGGTTCTAGTGTCTTTAGTGTCGTATCCTGTTTGCACAGGCCAACGCATATAAACAAGGGGAAGCAGCAGCGGGATAGACGAAAGCTTAGGGAAAAGAGACGAAGCACAGGAGTGGTACATTTGCCATCGACGGAGGTTTGTCACTGTTTGCAGTCATCTTAAGGTCCCAATATCTTAACGACTCTTCGCAGCACTTTCTCAGATTCTAAGAAAGGATCCTTTGATTGCATTGATGCTCGTTTGATATGAGAATCTTAGTCGTCTTTGTATCTTGCATGACGAATTTTAGAGATATTCTATTTTTCTTTCTTTCTATTCATTGTAATAATAATAATTTAAGCAATTATTTTGAACGATCTGAAATGAGCATTTCAGTGACGGAATTTGTATCGAGTGTATTTTCTTTTTTTCTTTTTCTTTTTTTTTTTTTTGGTGTTTCCAATTTGTATCGAAATTGTCTTGAGCGAACGTATTTCTATAGAAAGTCATGCTAGAAACGCAACACACACGGAATGTCTAACAAAGTAGAGTTGCACTTAGAAAACGCTTTCTCGCGATAACGATAAAAAAAAATATGTATAACGCGTTTAGACACGAGTGTTATGGATATTGGTAACAAGTTTTTGTGTGCAATCCCGTTGTTACTCCGCAATGTAATTTCGTTAGCCACTTAATTCTGCAGAGTACAGGAGGTAGTACAGGAGAAGATGAGGAAGAGCTTAGTGGCACTTGTCTTGAAACTAAACACAACACACATCACAATGAGTTCCTTGATCATGAACTCTTAGAAGTAAGTTCGTATGATAATACCAATATGTACATATATATAGTATATATATTTTTTGTTTACATATATGTACATAAATATATATATATATATTTTTTTTTTATCTATTATTACCGTTCAGGCGGTTCAAAAAGTCGATCAAAGTTTCTTGTATCAGAAATTATGTATGTATGTGAAACTACGCGTGTTTCAGGAACGGACAGCAAAAATGTTTACACAAAGGCGAATTAAAAGGTATAAAACACTATAATATCGACTACGGTAGTAAACTTATATACATATATTATACATAAATATATAGAGCTTTAGTGAAATTTAGTAGTTACTTGTAATAAACTGCTACTGCTTTTTAGGCATTACCGTACTTCCTACAGGTCATGTATAAATAGGCACAGTTGGTAAGTGCTACTGTACGTGACGAAAGTACAATTAGGCACGACCTGTACGAAGTACGGTAGAGCTAGTAGATTCTTTTAAATATGAGCCTGCGTATTGTAACAAGTACGTAAGTCCTTTGTTATACATTTTCTACACGGCGATCTCGAATCGATAAGAATTGTATTTCTCGTTCGATCACATAGTAAACGTGTGCCTCATCGTATTACGCTAAAATAGTTCATTCGAGGAACAAACATCGGTAGACGTTGCGGAACATTAGGATCGTTTATATTGAGGGTCGTGCCTAATATGATATTATATAGGCAGTTTGGACCAACAGAGTGACACGCGATTGCTAATAGACGAAAAACGCCAATTTAATTTTAGCCATTCCGATTTGGAAGCAGACGACGAGGAATTCGACTCCCTGAATCAGTCTGACAGCGTGAATCAATCCGATCACGGAAATCACGAGCCGCAGACGTCTGTGAATACTGGCAGCAGGCCTAGACTGCCTACGCCTACGGGAGACAATCCACACGAAGTATTTTCTTAGTATTTTCTATAAAGAAAATATTTAATCACATCTGGTGTAGTAGTAACAAGGCTTTAGGATAGAGTAGTTGAGTTATTCTAGTCAGGTCTCACACTTACAGGGACCTGACATTTATACAAGATTGATCTTTTCTCATCGTTTCCCTGCAAATAATAACGTAGTTCAAGCCAGAGACTTCAATTTTTCAAAGAAGGAAGTATCTTTTAACAAGGTCTTAAATGATTAATGTTTGAGAATAACGAATTACTTGTTACGACGTCATCAAATGTCTGCGAGTTTAATTATACTGTATCCTAAATAATTCGTAATGTTAAATCAATGAGAAAGAAATGAGGTTAAGTGCTCATAACGATTGAAGTAATCGTTATTCGCCAGCAGTCATTGATCGAATTAATCTTCGATGGGTAATAACGTGTATGTTAGCTACAGTGAGCAACATAACTTACCAATAACCATAGTCTTATAAATCATTTTTCGTCCTTCGCTGTAGTTATTCAATTTAAAATACAAATTTCATAAGCTATAATATTGTTTTTTTTTTTTAAATTTCAGTTGATCGAGCGGACGCAGGAGGAGAACAGGAGGCTACTGTCGCTCCTCGAGGATCGTGATCATAAGATCATGGCTCTCGAGGCCCGTCTGTTACAACAGAAACACGAAATGGCCATGGAACGCGAGCGACTACGGGAGGAAAATGCCGCGTTGATTCGCGCAATGGCGGCTCTTGCCAGTAATTAGCTTTCCTTCTCGCGAGGACACAACCCGACGCTACGTATCAATCCTACGATCGATTCTAGAAATCATTGGATTAGTGGATCGAAAAGCTATATATAACAATAGTTTATATTAATCGTGAATGTACTTGTTAATAATAGCCAAGAGAGAAATAGCGAAGCGATTTTAAACGAAAAAACATAACACAGAAGAAAGATGATTAATTGATAAGCCAGGCTGCAAGAGAATTAGGGTAAGTTACACAGTAATGTTACAGTCCGTTTTCAATTCCTCTGTATAATGTTTTTGTAATAAGCAATAGATCTCGTCTCACGAGTTTGAAGGTAATCGATCGTTTATCCGCTTCACTTATAGAGCTTTAGTTGTACAAATCCAATTACGTAGCAGCCAGTGTTGGGCAAATTTTAGTTAAAATTACAATTATTGACCTATGATGACTATTTAATCTGAAATATAAAACTTTCGCGAACTGTGGTACGGTTTTTATGATGTAGTCTGGTCATTGCATCCCAATTTTTAAAACTATCTTTTTCCCGATATTTCACTTTTAAAGCACTGTATCATCGTCTTATGTAAGGAAATCATTTTGAAACGGAAATCGACGATTAATCATTAATTTGATCAACGATGAGTTTCAGCAAATAACGATTACTGTAATCGTCAATCGTCGATTAGTTCAATGAAATTAGTCAATTAATGCCCAACGCTGGTAGCGACGAGAAAAATTTTATTTCGCGTCTTCATACCGTTGGTATCTAATCTTGCGCGATAAGTCGAGGCAAATATGTTTTTTTGCAATGTAACAGCTTAACAGTAGAAGAGGTGCTACAGTTTGTTATGTCATTGTCAGTCAAATTGAGTGAACGAGATTCGTAAATATTGACGAATTTATCCTCGACGCGATTGTAAGACCCTCTGAATGTCGTAGTGTTCGAACAGCGTGTTTTATACTCACTCTATCTCCTTCTATCGCTAATGTTGGATCTAATGTTAGATCTTCTGCGTTAGTTTTCTACTCGCGGAGTTCTTCGCTTCGTCATGTTTCAGAGATGGGCAAAATTTCATTTCGATAATAGATTTCGCCCACCTCGTATTGGCGTAAAGATAAACAAACAGTGTAATTGAAGGCGATTCGTGTACATAGATAGGCACAAACCAAGCAATTTCGTGGCGATCGCGATGCATTTAATTAAATTGAAAACAAGGAACATCTTTCATGCATGGAGTCGTGAACAGAGCGAAACGTAACGAAGGGGTGCGTCACGTAGAGAAAGCAGAAACTTCGACATTGACCCCTATCTACTATTAGTTATATATATATACCGCTGCAACCTAATACTTACTTACAGCGAAGCGTATATACATATGTATACATTTAGAAAGCAGGAGACTGAGGTGTGCGAGAGTGCATTGTGCATGTGAGCGAGCAGAATAGAGAGAAAGCAACAGATCGAATTTGTATTTACGTACTTCATCGTATGCACAATCATATTTTTATTCCTCAATTAATAAGTTCGAAGAAAATAATGAATTACGTTGAAAAAAAAAGGAAACACAAAAGACATACAAACACGTGTCTCGTTTATTATTTGACCGCGTGCACGATTTACGCAGCCGCCATCCGCGACCAACTTGGTTTTTCTTGTATCGAGTTTAATTCTTCCTGAATGGGAAACAAAGCGTATCGATATAAGAGATATTGCTCGGTCTAAGGAGATTCCACCCGATTCCATCGCGAGAATTTGGAAACTTTATTATATTCAAAATTCGATATTTTCTGTCTAAATAAACATTTTCTTAATAATCGTATCTTTTATGTTTCTGACCTTTTTCTCAAAGCGAATTGCATGACATAATTCATGTACTGTATCCGTAAGTGTATTAATCATCACGAAAAGTTTCAGTTCAACGTGTCGCGTATTTTTCTCTAAAAAAAATTCCAAACGACAATTTCCTGATCCGTGGCGCAAGAATCCTTTTAAATGTAAGAAAAACATATATACGGAAAGTCATCGTTCGTGAAACGCAAGGAATCGACCGCAAGAAGCGTGCGATTTATATTTTTATTCATAAAATAACTAAATAAATTTTGATATGATACAATACTTGTCCTCGCGCGTATGCATACGTTACACGTTATATTTAACTGTACATTTAAAATGAAAATCGATAGGATCCGATCGTACGTGAGCGTTTCCACGAGTCGATCGGTTCGGTGCTCGTTTCCATCCCAGCCGATGTGTGGGTGCGTGCTCTCGCGCGCGCAACTGGATCGTTAGCAGTTGAATCTCAACATGTGCATACCGACGCAGAAAGACACCAGCAATAAAGGGATACGTCAATCTACGACAAATCGTTATCGTCTCGAGATCTAGGGTCGATGCAAAACAGAACCAGAAAAGCATTCGATGGCCTTCAGCGTCCAACTGACTCTATCCCAACTAGTAAACCTTCCCAGTAACTCTTACAGTGCAATGATATACAACGCGTTCGCTGTTTAACCGTTTTAAGGCTCTGCTTTGCCAGTCCTAGTCACGGGATCACGTCCGAACAGCCAGTTATCGCTACCCCAACTATTTATCGCAGGTCTACACGTATAATTTTATTGTTAAAGTTCTCCCACAATCCAGTAAACGCTACATACACGTAATTTACATTCTCACGATGCCACAGGTACTACGCGCTCGCGTGGCTCTCTGGTTACCTTTCTCGCTCTCTCTTTGTTTTCATATGGTGCTACCGATCTTTCATCTCTATCGCGAGTCTTTCTTCGTCATCGCCAGCGTCTTTGCTCCGCGACATAATACATGTATATTTACAACGCTATTCGCTACACTTTTTACAATGTCCACGGAGGTGTCGCGACTCGCTCCACCCATCGGCGACCGCGTATCTCCTCCGTGATTCATAAAAGAGAGAAAATAAAGGCGACATCTCTTTGATATGTACCGTTTTTCTTTATCGTTTCTCGAGAAAATTAGAGAATTTGAAGGAACTTGCTCTGTGTCTCGTATGCTATTATTACTCGTTTTCTCATCTTCACGCACTACAGCTCTCTCTTTCTCGCTTGTCAAGCATTTATTGTCAACAGTTGAGTCTCTAACGTAGAAAGGCATATCGGTTAAAAACGAACTTCTCTTGTTGTTCTGCTTTTTTGAACAGCTGCTCGGTTTGATTAACAGCGGCGATTGTCGTGTCGTAACAGTATTCGCACGTGTTACATTATTTCTTAAATCAACGTCCCCTGTGTGTTGTAGGCCGTAGCTCGAGGTATTTCAACGTTCAACGTGGATTTTACGTCTTGTTTTTCGTTTCGTTCACGTTAATCAACGAGGATGACTCGTGATCGACAAAAATAAAAGCGATTACAATGCTAGGTACGTGTTCTCGACGATGGACAACAATTTTTGGTCATTGCGGCGAACTTCACTCATAGCTCGCCTGAATTTGAAACTAAAAAATTCCTGTTTTGGCATCGTATGTGTTCGTTCTAAAATCGTATCCGTTATCCCTCGAGTTGTCGACGACGTTGTTACAGTCTAAATTAATTGGCGGGGGGCATTTACTCTCTCTTTCGCACCTTACAGTAAACATTACATCCCAACAAACGACTAGATCACGATGGTTGGATCTCAACCAGATCCTTAAATGCTACGGAGCGCTTGTGGTTAAGTTAAATTCCGGTTAACGATATATTATTTATCAAATATAAACCACTTCGCTATCAAGTAATGTAATATACGAATACAGATACAAATAGGCAAAGGCAAAAAACGCAAACATAGGTATTATTGATCTCAATTGACATGCATTCAACCGTTTTCATTCCACGTACACGCGTCCCCCGCTGGCAAACTGGCTTTATACCTGGGGTGCAGTCACTCCGAACGTACAAAGACTCGTTCTCGCAATGTCTTTGTGCGCAACAGCGTTTCCAAACAGTGTCCCTGACAAGGTACTTCTAAGACTCCTCGGAATAGGGTTAGATCTCTTTTGAGGAGCGATTAAAATAATAAAAAGCAAAAACGAATCGGGGAGAGGGGGAGGGGAGGGGAGGGGAGATATCGAAACAAATAAAATCGTCATTCTATGATCTAGCAAGTGAAGGAATCGACTTGGCTAAGGGATGAGGTCCCAGGAATCTCTACTCTTTCAGTTCTGCTTTGTATGCTGTTGCACTTTGCAGGACGCTAACCCTCTATAGCATAATTATTTATAGGTCCATGAAGTAATCAATGCCTAAATCTGTAAGATTTTGATTAAGTTTCCAATTAGGCAAATGCAATAGAGGGTGAAACGTTTCTGAGGAGTAGAAATCTTTCCGAACTAAACATAGTAAAGTCGAATGTTCTCGCTAAGCTTGCGAGATAAAATAAAAGGTAAGTTTCCTTTTATGGGAGATGAGGAAGAGCGCGTGTGTCTCAGACAATTGTACCAAGATGCTGCGGAACACTGTCGCATAAGTACACCTTTTAACGACGATTGCACCAAGTCTCTCTCTCTCCGACGAAATAAATAATTCGCGACGTGGCACGTGCATGTTGCCCGCAACGAGGGACAGCGTGTAGGGATCCAGGCAGGTTTGACGATCCTCCGCAAGATGGACGTCGCGCGCATTATTTGTCTCTTTTTCCGTGCAGTCCTGCCGATCGAGGCTTCCTCTCATCTTCCCTTCCACTCAAATAAGTTATCCGGTGAATAAGAAATATACTGTTTCCGTAAAATCAGCCTTTCCCGGTATCTGGGGGCGATCGCCAAGGCACGTGTAGCAAGGTAATCCGAGTTCTTCTTCCGCGGGAGAAACAGGGAATACGAGTTCGATCCACGCGGATATGCAGGATATGTGTACAGTAGTTTTCATCTGGCAGGGCCCAGGGTGCGACAACCGAGGCCCAACGTATCCGGAGGCGGTCCTCACACGCTGCATCCGGACGTCACCTCTTCGCTGTTCTGCTGGTGCGACCAGCGACATTGATGACAGCTCTTTGGCTCTTCAGGCGCCGGGGCCACACCGCCCGACGCCCTCAGCCCCTGCTCTAGCTCGAGTAGCTGGCCCATGAAGTTCAAGTTCGGACTGATGATAGGCCGCGCGTTCTTCACCAACTTGTACGCCTCCACCATCGACAAACCTTTGTGCCGCATTATGTACGCGATAGCAATCGTCGCGCTGCGCGACACTCCCGCCTGACAGTGAACCAGTACGCTGCTTCCGGCTTTTCGGGCTTCCTCTGCAAAAGAAAAAGGTTCCTTTATTAGTACAATGACGAAAATAGGAGACTTTTAGTTGTTATCAGTGAACAAATACGATCCAATTAGGTCTACTTTGAATTCCTCGCAACTCTGTCTTTTAGACGTGCTAAGAATATGGTCTACTTAAAGATAGCTTAAAAGTAGGTCATGTTTGGACTCATTTTCATCAAGAGAACCTCGCCAATTCATTAACATTACTTTCACAGAAATATAATGAAATGTTCATTTCTTCGGACTTAAATTGATACCAAAAAGAAAGGTCGATTACTGATTTTACTGTTACTCTCAGATACATTATACACGGTACTTGTAAGCGACAGAAAGCTGTAAAATAGGATTCCACGAAGTGGAAGTAACCCGTTTCATGCGATACGAAATTCGTAGGTCAGATTGAAATGGGTTCAGGGACGAGGGTCATCGACGTATGTCTGGTGTCTACGTCATCTGGAATTTCTAAGAGGTGATTTACAGGAATGGGCGAACACAATGCTCTCTGGTAGGGCGTGCAACCCGTTCGGATGACGCGAGATCGCGTTATAAACGGTCAAACAAACCAGTCGCGGTAACCCAAACAGGCGATTCGGTTACGTAACATGGGGGACGCTATCGTATCGCCAATGAGTCACGGCGCCGCGCGCCCGTATCCTATGTAACGTCCTACTACGTGCCGGAGAGAGCATGAGAGCCGCTGCAAGTGCACGTGCACATACACGCGGAACCTCGAGGCGGCGGCGAGCGAAAAAAAGGACTCGGCAAACGCGGCTTTTTGCGGAAGAATTCCTCGGAGGTTAGGTTTCGAAAGCGTAACAGCGAAGGGACTTGACTCGGATCTAGACATTGGGAAAATTCTATTAGAAGAGTAGAAGATGAAGAAAAAGAAGGAAGCTTAGACATATAGTTAATACTCCCTGCTTTCAAGTAAACTGGAGTATATAAATAGTGTTTGAAAATAATTCCTGACGTCCAGGCTTATTTACAACCTGAGTTATTGTTTGTTTTATTCATACGTTACTGGAGTATAAAAGTAACTAGGTCAGAAATAAGGTCAAGTAGGACCAACACTAAAATACATAACATATAACTTTAAACCAATAAGAGATTACAAGATTGAGATAGTCTGTCAGGTTGTTTTCAAGCAGATGACCAAGTTGCAGCCTCCAAATCTACAACAATGAAATATATGTACCCAGATTATCTAATGGAAGGGTTACAAGCTTTGACACTGAAGAATACACCCAGGTGCCGTTCCCCAAGTGTCGATTAATCGCTAATAAATCGCCAAACTAAGATAGGAAGCGCAACGAATCTTATCTGGTTTATGCATCGAGGGTCGCGTAATCGAAGTAGTTTAGGTAAGCGTTGGTCGAGGCGATACGGTGTGGTGCATCGGCCCCTAAACGATACTGCGAGCCGGCATCTGCTATGAGTCACGGCTGACGAATGGCCAGACAGAGACGGGAAAAATTGGGGAGAAGGAAACCCATAAGGGAGGATGAAATGGTGAGAGAAAAATTGGGGATCTGGGGGGCATGATCATTATAGATGAAACGACGGATGAACACATTAGAAACCGGATCGAAGACTTTAACGGAGTGGACGTTTAACTTTCCACTTCCTACAACTCAAACTATGATCCAATGTAGACTTATTTCGTCTCTCCCTACCTCTATAATTAAAGGTTGCATCAAATCAGAACGCCTAGAGGTTGTTTTATTAAGTGGAATATTCAAGTAGCTACTAAATTGTTCACCAGAATGCAGTTGATTACACGTAAGCTTGCTAATTAGAATCGAGAATATAATAAAAGAACCCAGAGCTCCTGTCAAGTGTCTTACAAACTACAATATCGAAGTAATTATAACAATCGAATGAGTCAAGAAGTACGAACAAAAGTGGACAAATGTTACTACAGAAAAGAGGGTGGGAGAGGGTGTGAGTCACAGTGAGCAGCGGGCCGCACAGAGTGTGCAGAGATATATTTTGGTAACAGAAGGCGCATGTGTACACAATGATGGAAAGCTACGACACCTGTCGCGATCCCGAAAACGATATCGTGTTCCGGGAAATCGGACGTACTTGTTGCCTGGACGCTGTTTGTTTTATCTTCCTTGGGGGCCCTCCGTTCCTTGAAATGTTAAAATTAAAACGGGAGATTCATGTTCTGGGAACACGTGAGGCTATTACGACTCGCTGCGCAATTGCGCGATCAAACGCCATGGAATTGAACTGATATTTATCAAACGAGTTGGTTGGGATGAGCTTTTAACCTCCGGTCTGTAAACACTTGACTCGAGTGGCGAACAAGGGACGGCGAAACAGTGGAAACGATTATATAAATAACATTTGCCCTTTTTGACATTGTCTTAGAGTTACATCGAGTATTTTTCTAATGCTCTCTAACGAATAACACAATTGCAACGTATATTTTCCTGTCTCAAGTGAATGCACCATGAAGACAGTAGGGCAATGGGATTCGAGGAGCACACAGCTGCCCGTTTGCGGTAGAGGATCCTCGGATGACGGCTCGTCGACGCAACGCGTTCGCCCGTTTCTTTTTTTTTTCCCTCCCTCGTCGGTGGCGTTGCACGACGCAGTTTGGTGTAACGGAAACAGGGTGTAACCAGCCGTTTCCGGTGGACCATTCACCGCGCGAGGACTAGAAGACGAAAGGCTTCCATTCATGAAACCATGAGTCACGCGCGCGAGCGAACCACCGATCAGCGAATGCACACCAGTGAATCCCCTTCTTCGCGGTGCCCCAGTGCCTGGGCTGCGCTCTCCTCGTCCGTGTCAGTCGTGTGTTTATTGCACCGCATTCTGTACCCACGTAGACGTGTGCGTAACGCGAGACGAGAGAGTCGTTTACGTGTCTGCCCATGCGTGCACACAGGGAGAGCTCTACCGAATGCGCAACTGGTGGAATGCTGTACCTGGCCAACCGTCCCGACACCGTAGGGACTGTTGCGTGAAACGAAGGGCACCTTGGAGCGTTGACCGTTAAGACGTCTCCCGTGGCCAAACAAAGCAACGCTGACTTCACCCCTCGAGGTCCTACCTTCAGCTGTTCCGCGCAGGAACTTGTTCCCAACTCTTTGCCGTACAAAGGAGGTAGTCATCGCGAACGTGGCAGTTTTAAGGGATTGTACTTGGGTGAAAGGGGGGCTCTTAAGAACAAGTTCAACCTATTCTATACAATTTTGTTGGAAGTAGCTACTAAATTGTTCAACTGCGGAACCTTCCTCGATTTTCCGTCTACTTTCATCATTTCTATTGGGATTGCTATGAAAATCTAATATCACCTTTCTGATAACAAGTGAGCACATCTCGTATGGGAACCTCTCTATACTCCCGAACAAGCTCCCAGACGGGATGGAAAGTTTAACCGCCGCGAGTCACAAAGGGCCTCGTCCTTGGTTCCCATGAGGGGAAATAAGAGAGGCGCCTTAAATTCAGCCCGTTAGGAAGTTGCTGCGTTTGGCACAGCCTAAGAAGACCATGGCTACCATGGGACCTCGCGTTACAAACATTGCAATCTCTACTTTTGTAGCTAACAGTGTACGTGTTGTATAAGAAGATCCTGAATGGCCCAAGATGTTGAAGACTTCGAGGTATGATAATCTTCAGCCAACAGAAAGCTGTGATACAGAAGAAAATGTATTATGTCGAAACTATGAACCGTGAACGAAACGGAGGAGCTTACAGCGCAGCAGACGAGAACAGCAACGACGATCATTGCCCGGGGACACACCCAGTCAGCCGAAAGAATTACTCATCGACAGAGGCCAACGTGCGACTTTGTGAGCTCGCTCGCCCTATACGATCTCTCTCACGGTGAATTAAACGCAGCCTCCGCGAATGTCCTCCGTAACCTCCTGATACTTCGCACCGTCAATGCAATTAGACCAATTTACCCGAACAACTATACACGTCCTCCTATTTTCGTCGAATCACGCGCGCAATAGGTTTGCAAGCGTCAATGGATCGACCACGCTCGCTCGTTCAATGTCAGCGTGCATTATTAAACGCGTCTCGCGTTTCATCTCGCCAACTATTCAAACGCTTCTCTTGACATCCAATTCATCAACCGCCGGGTTGACTAACGGTAACGTGCTCTTGCAGCTGCATGCCAACGTTGTGGACCCGGACACGTTTCACGAGGAACTGTTCTATTTAAATGATTAGGTGTCAGGGATGACATAGACGTGACTATGGTTAGATACGGATCTGGAATAGTGAATGGTTGTTATCAAGGAACTATTGCTAAGGTGGTAGGTCCTGTCCCCCAAGTGCGGAGCAAGGGACAACAAAACGTGTTAAGGGACGGTGTCTTAGTAAACCACTCACCGATGAAGTCGAAGGCCTCCTCGAAGTACTGTTTGAGGTTTTGGTGCCCGGAATCCGAGGCAGGGATCTGCCTGTAGGTAATACCCCTCTCCTCGTGATACCCGGGCAGCTGCGAAGTGACGTTAAGGACTCTGGTGGCGCCTAACGCGCGAAGGAGTTGCAGATCAGCCGCGTCTTTGCCATTACCAAGGTACAGGAAAGGTAAAACCCGGGACGCGGGGTGACTGTCGATGTCTGCAGGTTGGGGAGTCGGTGGCCCCGACAAGCTCAACATTGGACAACCTGGTCCAGGGCTCGGGCAACCGCTAACCGTCGACGGGCCAGCTCCGCCCGCTGGGAGAAGCGTGTCCTCGCAGAGGTCCCTGTGCCGCCTGTGGAACTCTTTGTGTCCACCTGGAAAACGAAACAGACGAACGTGTCCGTTAGAATGAGAAACAATTCGGTTGGATTTTAGGGTGCTAGGGCGACTAACCAGGTCGACTCGAACCGCTACCGGTCGTGGGAACTGATCGTGCCAAGTATCGAATTACTGGTAAAGCACCGATACCCTGACCGCGCAGGTGCTAGCTACCGATTGCTAACATAACTTCTGGACTGTGGAAAAATCGGGGCGATGCTATGGTTTACGGGCGCACCTTGCATAGGATTATCAGTGGAACCCTTTGGGACTAAGCTTTCAAGATTCAAGCTTTGAAGATCTCAAGGCTTGAAATTCCAAGCTTTCAACATACAAGCTCTGTAAGAGGAATTAGAACTAAATGGCTAATAAAATGCATTCCTGAACACAGATGAGAAAATAAAAGTTCCTCTAATCCAATCACTACGCTCTCAACCTGGCAAATTCAGATGGCCACGTAGCTTGCAAGTGTTTCGCTTGCAGTGACCAATCCAGGCAATGAACCCGTTAACGGTATTCTACGGTAATTCCATTGTTTGCTCTGCCAGACTCATCGAAAGCGGCCGCGATGACTCTCTGTTTACTCGATTTTGCGAAACTTAAAAGACGGCCGCAGAAACGCTGCGCAAATAAAGTCGAAGACGGGAAACAAAGACCAAGACGGATAGACATGCCGTTCCCTTTCCGTGTTCCTCGAGGAATACAATGAGTCGATTGACTCCCCACCAGGCAGAATCACGACCTGGAATTGTGTACGCAACGATTTCTCAAGAAACGAGCGGCTAATAAACCTGGCCTATCGCGTGGCAGATTCACCATACTTCCGCGTGCAATGCTCAAACATGTACTTCTCGCCAATAGAAACAAGAGAAACTCTACACCCCCTCTGAAGGATATACGATATATTGAGGCACGCCCTATAAGAATTTGGAATCTTGGCACTCTAGGTGTGTTCTTTGCGGTTTTCGAAGCCCCATCGAAGCTGCTATGTGAATCTTGATCCTTGAAAGTCTTCCAGTCTTAAGAAACGTGAGAGAGACCCCCTCTGTCGGGGAGGGTATGGAAGAATGCACCGAAAAATCTAAAATTGGTAAACGAATGCGTTACGTTAAGCAACGAGTCATCGTCGACGAGACAGGAAAGACACGAGGAAAAGCTTCGAGAAAGAGGAAGCGAGAGAGGAAATGGAGAACCCGCGAATAAACGGCTTGGGGTAAAAATAAAGGAACACCGAGTGCGTGGGGTGGGAGGGAGGGCAAGGAAGAAATGTGGGCTAAAAGTGTCTTCCTCTCCTGACCTGCAGCTCGTGAGGCCTGGCCTGGCTCAACGATGAGTCACTCTATTCGCCCCCTGCCGTCGCGCCGCACGGCCGCCAACCCTGTGGCTGCTGTCGCGGCCGATGATTATTCCGCAGTCGCCGCAACGAAACTTCCTTTCGGTTAGGGGAGAGGGCAGGCCCTCCTCCTTCCGGATTCGATTCGATCCGTCACGTTACTTCTATTTAATACACCCAACGGCAACACGCGTCCCTATTCGACTTAACCACCTCAATTTATTAATTACGAATCCTAACGGAATTCAAGTAACGTTTCAGTATATAGGATTTTGGGTTATGTAACTTAAACAATCTATGTACATACTTGCTCATCACAGGTTGCTCACTCAATGCTTTTGGATAGAACCGAATTTTGTGTCTGCAGAACTGTTCTGTATCAACGTGAAAGTAAAAAGCTTTGAGGGCTCAAGCTTTGAAGATTCAAACTTTGAGGATCCAATCTTTGAAGACCTAACAATAAGCTGTAAGGTTCTAAGCTTTGAAAGTTAACAGTTTCTAGAGTTCTATTCACCCATGGGTCAGCGATCGTAAATGTCACGCCTCTTTCCGTGAATAATCATGGTCCCTGGTTTTATAGTCAGCATTGAAGTCTAAACGGATGATTACCTGCTATCGACAATTCCGTGTAAGTAGATGTAATGCAATTCCATGACCTACTCTCGTGGTTTTGCCGGAAATCGTAAATTTCGAACAGGACGTGTCGAGTGAGTAGCAACTATCGACGAAGACCTCGTGTAACCTCCTGTCCTACACGGATGGCCGTTTAGCTTTCAGGGCGACTACCTACTGATAACGTTCGATAAAGATAGTTTTCAGTTAATTGGTACACATTAGGAAGAAAAATATTACTTCATTATAACCAACAACTTCTTTCCTAATAAGGAATTTAAATGAAGATGACTTCGTACAAGTACCTGTACACATATTATATTAACCTAGGAAGATCAACAACTCTTCACCAAAGTGTCAAAATAAAGCAAATGTTTTTAATTATTTCCTCATAGCCCTCATAAATAGCCAACGTATTTTCTTTACATACCATTTTATCACGCTCTTTTTAGCTGCTTTCCAATGTATTTTTTCGTCGACAAACAATATGTACGACGTTTTCCAATTACACGCATAACGGTCGCTGTACAGGTTTGCCAACGTTGTAAAATCAGTCGGTATTAAGATCTACATATCCCTAACAAAGTGGCGCAATCGCGCCGCCTATCGATAGGGGTATCATCCTACGCCTAGGACTGGTTCAGAGGGAAATTGCAACTTTGTCGTGGGTGTTCTATTGTAGCACGGTCAGGCCATAGCGAAATACGGTTCCCCCATAGTATATGATACATTGCGATGTCACAAGATCACGTTTAAACATCGCGATACCCGATGCATACTCCTGTCGACCGGCAAACGGTAATTAGGCTTAATAGGTCGCAATTATTAAGAAAAGGGGTACGCGTGTGCCCTCGCAGGGCATTGGCCTGATTTTCATTGCGACTGCTTTGTAAAAGATCTTAACCTCTTGAGCACGACTTTCAAATCTCAATTGATACGATACGGTTATTTAACGTCTCGTGATTTCTAACGGTTGTTTTAATGGAAACAGAGATGAGCGTTGACGCCATATTGAGAAAATCTAGTAACTAACTTGAATTGTCGATAACGAAGAAATTGCAAGACATTTGTTTCATCCGATAACTGATGATAAAGTACAGGCAGTTTAGGTTAATACAGCAATAAGGGTAGATAATTTTCGCGACACCTGCGAAACGAGAGCAACGAACCTCGAATAACTTGATTGATATAATGACCCAAATGAAGCGACCCACATTCCACTTTGCAGCGACCATGCACAACTGTACACCATCTACATTTAGTCGAACACTGATCTTTCGACTGATACATCGTAATTCGGTGCTCAATTCCCAGTAAATTGATCGACTTAAATTTAATTCAACGATTGATTAAAGAAAAATGCAACTATCGCAAGATTCTTCGAATGTTGAGACAGGCGATAGAACTTATCGACATAAGATACCAATAACGGCACTTATCGACACTAACAAAATTACCCTACTGGGCGTTAAAGAATAATTTCGCGTACCCACGATCGGTAAAGTTTTCCATAAATTCAACTTTGATATTGACACTTGGAGGAATGGGAGATAGAGTGAGCTGTAGATTCTCTCTAAATAGGGCGGTTAAGTAGCGATCGGTACATGTTTGATTTTGAACTTTTGTAATAAGAGACCACACGTTTAAATCGAAACAAGTTATGCTTCGTAAGCTATCGAAAATGTATACAACAAGACGATGGATGATCCTGCAGTTTTAACGACGTGCCCTATCTCTTTGCTGGTACTTCACGGGGAACCTATAATCAAAGCTATCATACGAGACGCAGCGAAAGAATTTTTCTCGTTCGCGACGGATAAGGGGTTATCTACACGGTGTGATTTAATGCATAAAACGGGAGCCCGATTAACAGCGCGTCGAGGCATTTAAGCGCAACCACCCTTGGGATAAGGAATCCGTAAATTCCACCATTCCGTAGATTAACAAAGAACGAGTCATCGAGGACGCGTTACGCCTAAAATTCGAGATACCAAAGTCTGAGTCATCGCGAGGAGATTGTATTTACCCGCGTGCCTCGTCCAACTACGTATTCTCCCGTCACCGCGTCCAGACGTTTCAGAAATACCTTTGACCATAATAGTTGTCGACTGACGTCGTGAATTAGGCGGCCAAATGGAACAGGTAACCAGTAGCGAGGTGTGATTAACCCGCGGCTGTTGATGGCATGTGGCCAAGGGGTGTTAAATAAAGATGAAGATAAAAAGTGCAGGGAGGGGTGCCAGACGTTGATTTCAATAAATTTTGTGGAGGATGACAGGAGTCGTGTACGAAATTCATAGGCATGGTAACGATTGAATATGGTTATGTATTTTTAAAATAAGAGGTCAAAGGTTGGGAATTCCTGCTTACATCTGTACTACAGATTCCATTATTGGTAATACCACTATATACTTTTTTTTATCCTTTTTAGAATTCTTTTGAAATATATTAATTGACTCGATGGAATGTGGTATGTGGTATAAAAAGTAATGAAGTATAACACACAGTGGGTGTAGAATGTATTCGTACACCGATCAATTTCCCAAAAAACTTTTGCGTGAAATTGTAGTTTCTTAACTTCCTTTTTTTGTAATCAATGATATTTTACATATACTCGGAAGTCTCTAAGATAGATATAGTCCAAACAACATTTACTAGTTAATATAATTTGTGAAATTAACAAAAAGATGCGAAAAGTGGGTGAAAGTATAGAAGCAACAAGTATTTGGACGATTCTTACGACGAACCATTTACAACAGAGTTTGTAACGTAAACACATTAGTTTATTGCTCCGTGCGAATTTAGAAAACATCAAATTTCCAGTAAAGTACTTTTAAACAGTTGCCCGAATACTTGTTAATTTCGCAACTTACATAAATAGCTATTTGTTTTGTAATCTATCTATTTTAGACATTTCCGAGAGTATGTAGAATGTTATTGTTTATAAAAAATAAGTTAATAAATTACAATGTTACACAGTTTCTTTGGAAATTGATCGGTATACGAATACTTTCTACACCCACTGTATACCGTATAACATTCTAGACCAAA